TCCCCCCCCCCCCCCCCCCCCCCCCTTCCTCTTCTCATCTCCCCTCCCCCTCCCCTTTGCTCTTTGTAATCCTCACCCTCTTTCCAGTTCCTGTATTTGAGCAAGATCTTAGCTCCTTTTTAGTCTTTATCCCCGCCCCTGTCCTCTGTACGTACGACCCTCTAAGACTTAAACCACTGCCCAGGGCCTCCTCGCTCTCACCCACATCTACCGTTGCCCTCCGTCCGAAAGGGTCACGCCACCCACTCGTTGTAACTCGCTTTTCACCCCAGCCGTTGCCCAGCCGAATTTTTTAGCTGTCATAAAAACAGCTTATCACAGTGGTATAAAATGTATGCTTCTCTAAGCCGTCATCCGCTTTTCACTTTTCAAATTTCAAAAAATAATAAGCATATCATGTATTTTACGTTTAAATGTTCTCTCATTGTTTTTTTCATTACTATACGCGTTCTCCAAAAAGTTGTTTTTTTTTGGTTTTTTTTTCTCAGTTTATTTGTCACAGGGCATTCATATGATCATTTCCGGCTTTGTCTTTATCATCATGATCTGTATTTCAAGTATTGTTGTATGTCCAGGAAGACGATAATTTTGATTGTGTGCTACATTTAAGGTTGGCAAAGGCCGTTGTAAATTAGAAGGCCTTTGCCATTTTGATTCACCGGTTTTTTTTCCCGTGCCTGCTGCGCATTGAGGAACTGTATAACCACTCGAACAGTTTTTGAAGAGATGGCGCACAAGCAAGACAGGTGCGGCCTTTGGTGGAGTTGAGGTTGGATCTGTTTTGCCCTCGTAGCAGTAGTAGTGAGAGGCATCAGCCGTAGAATAAATTGGACCTGGGACCATTGTGAACTGTTTTCCCGGAATTTAGGTAACACAGTTGTGTAATATTTTTTGAAGAGTTTATTGTAACATGCTGTCAAGTAAAATGCTACTGCTAGAGGACACTTCGTGCCCACTGTTTCTTGTATCATCACTTTCTGTAGCGTGCTTCTTCCCGGAATTATCACCGGTCGGTTGTGCATCCTCACGTGCGTGCGCCTCTTCTTTGATACGACGCATTTTCTCCTGTTTGCGGAATTTCGCTCGTCGATTTTGGAACCATACCTGCCAGACAGTTTATTTAGTAATATCTCTACTGGAAACAGTCAGCCAAAGTTTCTTTTCGGAAAGGGGAGAAGTGTTTTTGTAGAGAACTGACTGTAGGGGCCAAAAAGACAGAAAAACGGTCGGCAACGGTCAGAAAAAGTTACCAACAGTGGCTGAGAAGGGAAGATGCACAGAGGTTAACGAGGAATGACTGGTCCATGCAAAAAAAGCTGAGAAACAAACATTGGTCATGTTTGGGCGCATTCTTGAATTTTACTATTGGGGAAAAGTTGCTGGCAATGTTCTGTCACGAATCGGACCTGTACTCGAGCTTCAGTGAGATCAATTCGCATTGCCAAATCCTCCCGTGTATAGATATCCGGATAATGCGTCTCCAAGAAAGCGCTTTCCAATTCTTTCAGTTGTCCAGATGTGAACGTTGTCCTGATCCGGCGCTGCTTTCTCCTTTCTGCTGGATTGCCACTGCCGCAAATTGCACCTAGGACAGGAAATTTTTCTCGCAAGAGCAAGGCGAGCAGGGGAACTCAGGAATTTTTAATTACTCTTTTGTTCGCCTTTAGACTATAATTTTAACCTGGACTGTTTGAGTTTTCATGGCAATACAAAAAAAAAAAAAAAGTACCGACAAGTGATGGTCCTTGAATACCAGCCATCAAACTAGCTGGATTGCTGCGCATTGCATCCGCTGTTGACAAAAGCGATGTTTGATTTTGGTAAAGCTTATAGTGCAATCCTGAAACTGACCAATTTCACGCGAGCCTGTGTTGTGAAGTCGCTGAAGTGTGCAGAAATAGTGTTATTTTAATATACTTTTCACTGAGTAAAACTGACTTCATATTGAATGGGAAGTAGCGGTGCAATATCAAAACTATATAAAATTTTAAGAACAAAATCATGGTTATCCATTCTGTATTTAGAGGGTTCATTGAATCACTCAAAAATGTCACTCAAAAAAAAAAAAAACTGAGGCACATGTCAAGGGACCGGAGTGAGCATGGATTTTTGCACAACGAATTAAAAAGTTGTCTACGTCAATTTCCACGTGTCTGTACGTGAGAAATAAATAAACACGAGTATTTATTTTAAACACAAAACTCGCTCATATTGATGGATTAAGCTGACAAAATTTTAGTTCAATAGCTTTAAAAGATCTGGAGACTGAAGCGTGCGGGCAAATGCAAAAAAAAAACACACACACACGGACAACCGTTTCACAATATATGTTTTTGCATTACATAAACGCAAAAAATGCACAAGAATTACTAAGATTTCGAAAATTCTAAAGAAACTACAGTCTTTTCGGGAAGAGTTTAAAACAATTAGTTGAAGGCGCGGTTTTTTTCTAAGATATCGTTGTGAAACTTTTACGAAGCATACTTTCTAGAGATCTTTCAGGAGCACCAGTATCGAGAATATAAAATGTTCTTGGGAGAGTACTGTTCTTCAGACTAATGTTTTTCAGCTGAAACACATCGCTATTTGTTATTTTTAGCCTACGCTTGTAAAATTGTCCCTTCTTCCAAAAAATTTATGGGATTAAATCATTTGCAGCTTGCAATTCAGTTTGCTTAGAATTATGTTACATATAATTCCTTCCCATCTCGAAAGTAATTCTATCGAGGCTCAAATAAATTACCTGTCTGCAGGAAAGCGTGCAGGGAATCCGATGCGCGATAAGGTTGATTTGCAATGGAGCCGCTGTTTATGGATGTGTTGTTCTGCACAGAAGTGGGTATCATCGACTGGTGACCAACATTCAGGTGCCTGAAGAAAGAAAAACATTTAATGATCAATGAACCACTCTTTTTGCTAATTCCAATAGTAACATAATCGCTCGGACGATCACTGTGTGTATCCCGTGTTAATGATGCAACTGGGACGCATTGCCTTGACAAGTTACTAGTATTTTAATATTTCGAGTTTTTTGCGTTTTATATTTCAAATACTCTTAATTAATCAACCCCAAACCATTGTGCCGAAGAGAAACAACTGTGGCGTTGAATAGGAATGTATGGAACTTGATGCAAAATTTGCCATTGACTTGCTTATAAGCAACTTTTGAAAGATGAAGCCATCGACAGCTTTGCTAGCCAGTGGTTGCCAGCTTGGTAATTGCAACCACACGAGTTGCTTCCTGGTTGTTCCATCTTTCGTAACGAGCAGATGCGATTTTAGGGAAGATGTTGTCAGTGTGTTGCAAAAATATTTTACCTTGTGCCTCCGGCTAGGTGTCCATACGAACTAGCCGCGGCTGCAGCGGCCGCGGAGTATTGCCCATAGAGTTGTTGAGGATGCTGCTGCTGCTGTTGTGGAACAGTGTTAACGTATGCTGTGGCCATGGCAGTCCCAGTACTGGTAGCTGGGCTTGAGAAATTCAGGCTTGAGTTCAAGCCGAACGCATCCAGAGCAGTGCGTTCATTGTTCATACCAGTTGTTGCTGCTGCAGCAGCGAAATAACCACCATAATCCATTACGTTCATTCGCACAAAACAATGTTACATGGAATCTGAAAGTTTATTTAAGCTTCTACAAGAATTAATATCAAGACGAATCGAGCAATCAGTGCATGAATCTCTCATATCGGAAGCCGTCCAAGTGATCGTTTAGTTTTTCGTAAGTACCACTCACTAATGTGCAATGTGAGGTGAGTAATCTGAACTTTTTTTGCGGTCATAATCGTGTCCTGCGCATTTGATAGAGAATTTGATAGTTTTTTGGCCGCAGTGAAATATAGCGAAGATTCATTGCTTCATCTTTCTCTCTCTCTCTCTCTATCACAACTAACGCTTGCTCTCCACCTTTCATCAGTGACCACGTCTCGCTCACGTACGTTTTCTATTCCCTCAAATAAGCTTCATCATCTAGCTGGCCATCAGTGGAGGTAACACTGCTAAGAGGAACCGAAGAAGTTGTCAGTTGCATAGTTCGCCACACTATGAAGCGCATTTGACCAAAGTAAAACTACCTCATATTTTCATTTCTTAGTGCTATAGAAATCATTAGTGCGCTTTGCTCTAAAAATGATGCAGACAATATTAAAGAGTCAAAAAGAATCATGAAAATAAATTTTGAATAATATCAAGAGTAGTCCATGGTGATTTTAGAAAAGTAACAAATTCCTCGAGCAGGCCGTAGATTGGTCACTACCGTGGTCAGAAACCTTTAATCCTGGCTGAGCTTGTCGGTCATTATCATGGTTAACAATGCTTGATTTTTCAGTCACAAAAAAAAGTTAAAATTTCATAGGGATAGATGGTAAATGAGATCAGCGGCTAATCATGTTGTGACCCTTAATGAATGATGCCGGGACCACTGAATAAGCGCCCAACAACTGATTTAGGGATGAAATCGAATCTGCTGAGCCGATTATGGAAAGAAATCACTAGCGAATTTGCTTCAGCTGCCAGAAAATGCTGCAGCAACAGAGGCCCAGCCCTCAATTAACATAATGCATTCCAAGCCAGCCCCATAGCCCTTCCTCACAGATATGGCCAGCCCAAACAAATGACTACGGTAGTCGCAGACTGCTGAGGTTTGCTGCTTTCGATTCCGAATGTTAACTTTTGAAAATGCTTGAAAATACGCACATTTCAAGCTTTAGGCAAAAACGGCTTAATAACTCTCATATTTTCTGCGAACGGGAATAGCAAAGTAGAAAGTAGCAATCATCGAGGGCAGGCAACTTGAACCCTCTGTGATTCGTTCATTCGTTTCGATGATAAATTGGTACTTGCATATGCAAGGGAGTCGAACCCGCCATCAGCTTGTTTTTAAGCAACCTTCAAAAGAGGTAACCCATGGCAGCCTTGCCAACACATGACTGCTTTTGTAGTTGCTTTCATTCAAGCTATTTCCAATTGCCTATACTTTTTGTAGAAGGTGAGAACGGACAGGATTTTTGGCTGTATCCACAATTTGTGTAAATTTGCCGTGTATTCATTAGGCAGGTTACGGTAATGACACGACCTGAATTTTAAAAGATTGTATGGGCGAGGGGGGGAGGGGGGGGGGGGGGGGGGGGAAGTTAAATTTAGGAAGCCCTGGATTTTTTTGGATGAATTGGCAAATTGTTCAGAAAAAGATTGAAACGAAGCATTTTATGGACATTTTTTCAAAAAAAAATCCATCATTCTGTCTACATACTTTGTAGTGAATTTTTCAAACTTTCGAACTACCATTTCGCGAATTTAGTGCATTTTCAAATGAAATTACTGGCAATAAGAAGGAAATCAGGAGGAACGGACTGCGATGCTTACGCCTGGAACTGAGGGAGGAGGGAGCATTTATCTCATTAGCAACGATCTTCGCTTGCAATTACAGCTAACATTTTCATGTATCTCGACTGCCCGAGCTCCCAGTACTGCTGCTATCGTAATCCTGAAATATGTGTAAACTCATCAAATTTGTTTTAGTTGCGACTTAGATTCTTTGAATCCCCCTCCTAAATCACCCTTGCGTTGAACTGTGGTAAAATAAATTACTGACAACAGGCTTAAAAAAATTATCATCTGTCACATCAGATTGTTCTGCAGCAAATCTGGTTTCGCACAGCAAGTCCTCTTGGATAATCGTAGTGGGTATCCACTGATATTAATGAAGTTCTCCTACATGCATGGTGCTGTTATCACACGCCCTTCGATTTTAGGCTGCATACCTTCAGTTGGTGTCCCAGAATTTCTCGATGCAAATTCAAAACAATATTTTAAGCTTAAGTGTCACTTATCACTAGAAAAATTCAGTGGATGTTCAGTATAAATCAGTAATAAGTGACAACTGTTGTGGGGAGTAATGAACACTGAAAAAACTATAATTCGAAATGGACCGGAATGACTCTATTTAGCTATAACGGTATTTGCGTAACTGCCTCAAATTATGCCTGTCTTAAACAGAATCATCGGGATATCAGTAGCGAATTTGCTATTTCGCCGAAACGTATCCAAATATGGCTGGTCTTATCCCAGTGACTTATTCTTCAGTTCTCTGGCCTATTATCCACATCCGCATGCGATTACACGTATTTGCAAATCACAGGATTTTATAGCTTTCAGAGTACCGCTCACTGATAAGCTGTTTTTATCCGTCTTTAGCAAGACAAGCGAACTGACTTTCTATCAGGTTTTATATCCTTTTTTTAAAAATCAGTGGGCAAAAACTTCTGCGTATTCACTTACCGCAAGAGGCGGATGCACTCGAAAGCACCCTGAGTTTACAGCAAATTCCAGCAGTAGCTGACAAGGGCTGTCGATGGTTCCCTTCTTGTAAAATTGCTAGGATACGAGCTGATAGCCAGGTGGACTCCGTGGCCTGCACCGGTACCAATTTGCCATTGGAAACGAGCGAACTGTGCCAAAGACGGAGTCGAAACCTCGATCTCCAACAGCGAAGCAGGAAACGCCTTACATACTACTGCGCTATGCCTGTCAACAAATTCCTGTGGAACTTATGCTGGACTGGAAAGATAACGACAGATGATGCCTGGCTCAGCGCCGATTTTGCAAGAGAGCTCAGAAATTTGTACCGAGTATCAATGCTTTCGCAATTTTGTACATCTTTTTGAGGTTGCTAAAACAACGTGACAGATGTGCTTCTAGCTGGGGACAACAGAGCTTTCAGTGCAATCCAAGGATTGGATTGATTACGCGCAATATGCATCCACTTGACCTTTGA